CTCCCTTGGAGACTGAGATGGAGGATTGTAGTTTGAGACTAGCCCAGGCAAAAAAAGCTTAGAAGGGGGCTGGGAAGGTGGCTCAGTGGTAGAGCACTTGCCTTGCATGCATGAGGTCCTGGGTTCGATTCCTCAGTACCACATACACAGAAAAGGCCAGAAGTGGCTCTGTGGCTCAAGTGGTAGAGCGCTAGCTTTGAGCTGAAGAGCTGAGGGACGACGTCCAGACCCAGAGTTCAGGCCTCACGACTGAAAGTTCAGCTGACTCCTTGTGGGCCAGCATCATGGGAGGTGTTATTAGGCGGATCAGAGCCTAGGCACACAGCTAGGCAGGAAGTGAAACCCCATCTGAAAAGTAGTACAAAAGGGGCCCCGGAGGCATGGCTCAGGGTGGAAGGTGCCTGAGTCCACATTCTAGTACCACAAAAAGCTATTCTTCTAATTCTAACACACCAGTTTCTTTGTTAGCTGTGGCAACATTTGTTCACTACTGCAAAGGTAGTGGGGTTGGCACAACCACTGCAGTGGCATTGCATTAGTCCATTGTTTGTCTGGTACATGCACACACCCTGCTGATACTAGGACTTGAACTCAGGGCTTCATGAAGCCTTTTTGCTCAAAGCTGGCAGATGCCCTATCACTTCAGCCATGTCACCACTGGCTTTTTGCTGGCGAATTGGAGGTAAGACTGAGGTTTATCTGGGCTAGCTTTGAACCATGCCTTCAGATCATAGTCTCCTTGGTTGCTGAGATTGCAGGTCTGAGCACCAGAGCCCAGCTTCTTGCTTTGTAGTTTTCATGCTGCCCATTCCCCCAGACAGCCTTGAAGAGGCAGTGAGAGGTAAACGTATTCAACCTTGAACCTCAACTGTATGTTGTATTCTCTGTGGCAAATGGGACGTGAATAGAGAATGCTTTCCTTCATTCCCAAGTGCAGAGACAGCCAAAAGAAAGTATTTCTGTGATTGCATGTCAAGAAAACCAGCTTCTTCCCCCCCCCCCCCCCCCCCCCGCACAGAACACCTCTTCTTATTTGAAAGAAGGACCAGCAAATTGCGGTCATTCAACATTGAGTATTTGGCAGACATTTTCTTGAAAGTGAACAAATAAGCCCCTCTTCCTTAACGACTCCTAATCAAAGTTGTGTGTTGAATAGTGTGTCAGCAATGCATTGCACGACTCAGCAAAGTGGAACTGTCATAGGACTAACGCGTGGATAAATCCAGAGAGAGGTAAAGATGCATCTCAAACACAAGGCAGACTGGCAAGCTGCAGGGTAACAGCATGTAGTGAGTACTCACTATATGTGCTTCCAGATTCCCTGACGCTGTGAACCTTTAAGAGGGTAACACAGCAGCTGTACAGTGTCACCCTAGCTATTCAGGATTCTGAGATCTGAGGATCACAGTTGAAAGTCAGCCTGGGTAGGAAGGTCCATGAGATACTTGTCTCCAATTCACTATCAAAAAAGCCTGAAGTGGCACTGTGGCCCAAGTAGTAATATGCTAGCCTTGAGCACAGACACTCAGGGACAGTGCTCAGGCCCCAGGACCAGCGCTCCTACTCCCCCCCCCCCCCCACAAAGTTAACACTTGAAGCAGTGTGCCAGTTACACATGTCTAAATCCTGGCTACTTAGGCTGAAATCTAGAGGATCATGGTTCAAAACCAGCCTGGACAGAAAAGCCCGAGTCTTCATCCCCAAAATAACCAGTAAAAAGCTGAGTTGGAGGTGTGACCCCAGTGGTAGAGTGCTAGCTGAATAAGCAAGCAATCTGAGCAACACTAGGAACTATGTCAAGCTGGAGGGAGAAACCGATGAGTAAGGGTGAGGAAGAGGTGGTGGCTGGCTGGACAAACGTGGGCTAAGGAGCCTTCATGAGAGCTGATCTGGGTACAGACAGGCAAAAGGCTTGGCGGAGGTCACTGGACTTGAGAACTGTTCTTCACATAGGAAGAAGCATGGGCCTGGGCTGGGTGGCGAGGACCAGTACTGGGTGAAGCTGTTAGATTAGGTAGGGCAGGTGTAGAGTCAGAGGACCAAGAGCCTCTGCTCCCCGTGTGTCCTGTCCACCCTGTGGAGGAAAGCTGTGAGGGGAGATTGAAAAGCCGGAATGAGATCGTCCATGCAGTAGAATGCTGGGCGTACAACTGCCTTTGTGCACCAGGAACTTCAAAAACACCATTGGGACAGCTGGAGGCAAGGCTCAAGTGGTAGAGTGCCTGCCTGGCAAGCACAAGGCCTGGTGTTCAAATCCCAGTACCTCTGGTGGATGTCATGATTTTGGCATGGGGATGTGGCTCAGTGGTAGCATACCTGCTAGGCAGGTGCAAGCAAGGTCCTGGGTTCAAACCCTAGTACAGAACACAGCAAACTTGGAAAGGAGATAGAGGCCAGGTCTGGGGTCAGCTCTGACACAACTCTGCAGCCTTAGTTTCTGTTCGTGAGATGTTCTCTGGACTTATACCTTGAAGTGATTTTGAGTGCTGAGAACTTTGACAGAACACAATTTGCATGTGAATATTTATCCTGATTTTTTTTTTTTTTTTGCCAGTCATGGGGCTTGAATTCAGGGCCTGGCACGGTGTCCCTCACTCAAGGCATTTTCACTCAAGGCTAGCTCTACCACTTTGAGCCACAGTTCCACTTCCAGTTTTCTGGTGGCCAATTGGAGATAAGAGTCTCATGGACTTTCCTGGCGGGCTGGCTTTGAACTGTGATCCTCAGAACTCAGCCTCCTGAGTAACTAGGTTAACAGGATTACAGGTGTAACCACAGGCACCTGACTGTTCTGATCTTTCTAAAGCTTATGGGAGTTGCTACTGTTTATTTCCAGAGGTTCTGGTGGAGGGTGAAGCCGCTGGGCGTGGCTGTAGGTGCCATAAGTGTTTGTACGCTGGACCTTGTGCTTGGGGATGTCCTGCTGGGTGCAGTAGAAATGAGCCAGGGATGCCCGGGCACTCCTCCGCTGGGGAGCCAGGGGCACATGCAGCGGACAGTGGGCTGCTGAGACTCCTCGGGACTGCAGTCCAGTGAGGGCTCTGCCCATGCTCTCGAGCAGCCTTGACACTGAGTATTTCTGATGTTCTCCTAAACCTGTTCTGGAAGATGGTGACAGAGCAGGATGATCTGAGTCAGGAGAGTTTGGTTGGGTTTTGGTGCTGGTACCTGGACTTGAACTGGGAGTCTCATGGTTTTGCTTGGCTTTTTGTTCAAGGCTGGCACTTAAGCCACACTACTAATGGTTCTGTTTTTTTTTTTGTGAACATACTGTACAGAGGGGTTACAATTACATGGGCAGGATAATGCATACATTTCTTACCAAGCATTGCAGCCTCTTCCTTTGTTTACCCTTCACATCCCTTCCCAGTCTCCCCCCCTGTGTTTTTGTTTTTGTTGGTTTTTGATTTTTTGCTGGTTAATTGGAGATAAGAGTGACTTTTGGACCCAGGTTGGCTTAAATCTTGATCCTCAGATCTCAGCCTTCTGAGTAGGATTACAAGGTGTAAACCACTGGCACCCAGCTTAGACTTTTTCAGGTTACATGAAATAGAGTTGTTGGCCTCCTGAGAAAACAGTTCCTCCCATTGGACTGTCTGGGTCCCCAGATGACTGTGGCACTTCTCATTGTCCTCGTTAGCATCATTGTCTTCTGTGTGGTTCTGGCAGAGACTCTGTGTACTCTGATAAGTGGCCATTAACTTGCCTTTAGACGTGACCTGGAGATGGAAACCTGTATTTATCTCTATATTATAGTGTGTCAATGTAATATAATAAAAGATAAGATTACATAATATTTTTATGTAGTATATATGTATCCATACTTCTATTACATGGAACAAAATTAGACAATTTTTTGTGTATTAAAAGGAACTTTTAACAGTTTGGTAACTTTTGATCTAGAAGGTAATACTGATACTCACTTTGGGACACCAGGCTCTCTCCTGTGCCTAACGCTCTACCACCCTGGGCACATTGGTGATGCCTCTGCCCTCTGTGTTCACCAGACCTTCCTCTGCTCTTCCCACACATCGGCACTCTCCCCAGTCACCTTGGTTAGAAGACGGAGTGCTTACCTCACATCCCAGTGGTGTGGTGGCTGTTCACAACACAATCAGCTGTTGGGTCCCTGCCCAGACTTGAGCATTTTCTTTTGCTTGTGGCTGAGCCTTGAGCGTTAATTGCAGATCACAGGCAGTGGTTGGTGTTGCTAGGCAGGGAAGGAAGGAAGCACGCAGAGTGCAATGCTTGCTGTGTGTCTGACTTTATGAATTCACCTCACACAGTGACAGTCATCTCAGAAATGTGCACTTGGAAAGGGGCTGCATGAGTGGCACTTCAGAGGTTGGGAATCACCTTGTAGGATTGTGTACTATGTGTGTGTGTGCGCGCGCATGCACGTGCATGCATGCATATGTGTGCTAGTCCTGGAGCTTGAACTCAGGGCCTGGTGCTAACCTGAGCTTTTGTGCTCAAAGCTAGTGCTCTACCACATGTACTACAGCTCTGCTTTCAGCTTTTTGGTCATTAGAGATACAAGCAAGTCTCACAGACTTTCCTGCTAAAGCTGGCTTTGAACCACGATCCTTAGAGCTCAGCGTCCTGAGTAGTGAGGATTACAGGTGTGAGTCCCTAGCACCTATCTATTCTGATTGTCCTTACAGCCAGCCTTTTCCAAGGAGCTAGAGGTTGAAATGAGCTTCAGGCATTCCTTGCCTGAGAGGGTCCCTGTCAGGAAAGCAAGCCATGAAAGGGCCCAGTACTGCCAGAGACCTGCAGTCAGCTTCCTGTGCGTGTTGCCTTGACTGAGTGCCAGGTCCTGAAGCCCTCACTGCTGCTGTTGCGGTGCTGTGGGACTCCTGCCTCTGTCCTCTCAGATGAAGGGCTCTTGGAGCTCTGAGTACTTTGTCCATATAATAAGCCACCGATTTAGTGTTTTAATCAATAAGAAAGAAACTGAAATCCTTGTTACTTTATCTTTTCTCTGTGTTTAGGAAGAAGAAGCAGGAAGTATAAATGATTGTTGGGACAACCAGGAGCCGCCTGCACTCTCTACGTGCAGCAATGCCAGTATCTTCCGAAGGATAAATGCCATACTGGACAATTCGCTGGATTTCAGTCAAGTCTGCACGACACCTGTAAACCGAAGAATTCATGATCATTTGCCAGGTGACTTAGACTTGAAATTTTGGATGCATGAGACCTGTGTACAGAATCGCTTTCTGCGGTTTGGATCTCTGCAGATTTAGATGGTCAGAACGCTCATGCACAGCCCTTCACCAGGATTTGGTGGGAATCCCATTGAATCTCTGAAACATTTGTGGGTCGTTGATATACTGACTGGTCTTCACTTATCAAGTCATCATTAATTTTTCTCCATGTTTCATTGATATCTTGCACATTCTTTGCTAAGTTTATTTCAAGGATTTTACATTTTTCTGTTTTTGGTCGGTCGTGGAGCTTGAACTCTGGGCCTGGGCGCTGTCCCTCAGCTCTTCAGCTCAAGGCGAACACTCTACCACTTGAGCTACAGTGCCACTTCCGGTTTTCTGGTGATTTATTGGAGATAGGAGTTTCACGGTCTCTCCTGCCTGGGCTGGCTTTGAACCGCGATCCTCAGATCTCAGCCTCCTGAGTAGCTAGGATTACAGGCGTGACCCACCAGCACCCGGCTACATTTGTTTTTTGATGCCAATACAGGGTTTGAACGCTTGCTCTGCTTGAAGCCTTGCCTTGAGCTCTTGCTCTGCTTTTTTGCCTACTGCACACTTGAGCTACACCTTCATTTCCAGCTTTTTGCTAGCTAACTGAAGTAAGAGTCTCTTGGTTTTATCCATCTGGGCTGGTTCTGAACCTCTATCCTCAGCTCTCAGCCTCCTGGTAGCTAGAATTATAGACAGGTATGACCAGTGCCCAGCAATTTGTCTCTAGTTTTTGATGGATTTTTCTTTTTTATGGTCAATCACAGGGCTTGAACTCAGAGCCTAGACATTGTCCCTGAGATTTTTCACTCAAGTCTAGCACTCTACTTCTTTGAGCCACAGTACCACTTCTGGTTTTCTGGTTTTAATTGGAGTTGAGTCTCATGGATTTTCTTGCCTTGGGTGACTTTTGAACCATGATCCTCAGATCTCAGCCTCCTGAGTAGCTAGGATAACAGGCATGAGCCACCAGTGCCCAGCTTGATGGATGTTTTGAAATACCAGTGGTGGGCTGGAGGTGTAGTTCAAATAGTAGAGTGCCTACTGAGTAAGCATGAGGTTCTAAGTTCTCACCCCAGTACCTCCAAAAAGTGGTTTAATGCTATGGTGGGTGATATTTTAGCTGCCATTTTCTGTTTGATGTTGCCTGACAGTCCTCTGGTGTGGGGTTCAATCGTTTGGGTCTCTGTTACATGCAAATTAACTTTGATGTGCTGTCTTCTAAGTATTCTGAAGTTGGAGGATGTGAGTAGCTTCTCTAGTTTTGTTACTCTGTATGGGTTTTGGAAAGTGTTTCTTGTAGGACCAGAAAGCCTCTTCTTGCTAACCTTGTTTGAAAAAACATACATGTGTGCGTCCGTGTGCATGTGCCTGTGATATATGTGTATTTAGTGACAGCGGGGGCTGAAGGCGGGGCCTCATGTTTGTTAGGCTGGTGCAGTACCGCTGAGCCACACCTCCAGCCCTGTTTTTCACTGGTTAATTTAAGATAGGATCTCAGTTCTTACTCAGATGTATGCCTGTGTTGCAGTCCAGTCCTTGCTGGACCTACAGGCACATACTACTACGTCCATCCAGCTTTGCTTATGTGAAGATGGAGTCTCATGGACTTTTCTGCACAGATGGCTTCATACCATGATCCTCAGATCTCGGCCTCTTAATTGGCTAGGATTTCAGGAGCCACCAGCATGCAATCCTGTATGTGGATTTTTGTGTGGGTATGTGAGGGTCCTGGGGTTTGATCTCAGAGCCTGGTTGTTGTCCCTGAGCTTTTATGCTCAAGGCTAGCTTTCTATCACTTGAACCACAGCTTCACTTCGGGCTGTTTTGGTCATTAAATTGGAGATAAGTCTCATGGACTTCCCTACCCAGGCTGGGCTTTGAACTGTGACCTTCAAATCTCAGCCTCCTGAGTAGCTAGGATTAATTAGATGTGAGCCACTGGTGCCTGACTGTATGAGTTTTTGGAGATAAACTTTTTATTGGTGTATTTTTCAGTCTTAGAAAAGTTACAAAGATAATTCAGGTGTCCTAATGCACACTAATAATCCCAGCATTTGGGAGGCTGAGACAGAAGGATTGTAAAATTGAGGAAATCTTTGGTTGCATAGAGATATCCTGTGTCAGAAAACAAAAGCAGAAAGTGACAAACCTGGTAAGGAAAAATTCTGTATATCTTGCACCAAGTTCTCTTATTGCTTACATCTTACATTAATTGGTACCCGTGGCTTCTTCAGTCCTAATAAACCCATATTCATTACTGTAGTCCATTCATCTGTTTTTTTGAGTTTCCTTAGTTTTTACCTAATCTCTTTTTTCTGCACAGGATGAGAGCCAGGACATCTATCCTGTGTCCTGTGTGCCTGGGCACTTCTAAACTGTGTCAGCATCTTTGATGTTTCCTAGTTTCGATTTTTTGACAGTTTTGAGTAGTGTTGGTTTCACTTGGAAAAAATGGCAGCAACTATGTGCATCTATGTACAAACTTGTGTGCAAACATTTGTAGGTAAGAACTCCAAACTGGAAACAACTCAAATGTCTATCAACAGGTGACTGGATAAACAAATTTGTTTGTCAGTACTAAGGAGTATGCTTGATAATGAACTTGATGCGCGATACGAAATGGATGAATTTCAAGATCATTATGCCCAGTGAAAGATACCAGACAAAAACATACACTCTATAATTCCACTTGCAGAGTTATAGAAAATGTCAGCAAATCTTTGTGGCAGAAAGCCTAGGGATGGGTAACAGGATAAAAGTGTGTCCCAAGGTGCCTGAAAAAACCTCAAGGACAATGAGTATGTTCCTTAATCAGTTTTTGATTGTGATCATTTCATAGTGTGTTCATAGGTTCAAATGTAACAAATTTCACATTTAAATACGTTTATGTCAGTTTTGCCTTGATAAATACACTGTTAAAGTTGAAAGTAATTACTGAATGATAAGATTTAAATGCATTTATTGCTTTGTGTCAGGGGTGTGTGTGTATGCATGTGTGCTAGAAATAAGTTTAGAATGCAAGGCCTCATAGTCTCTACTTTCTTGCTTACAGCTGATGCTCTACCACTTGATCCATGTCTGCAGTCTGGCATTTTTCTCGTTGACTGGGATATGAAATCTTGAGGACTGTTGTGCTTGGGCTGGCTTTGAACCACAGTCCTCCAGGTCAGGCATGAAATGCTGGCACCTGGCTTAGGTAGTACTGGGGTTTGAACTCAGGGCCTCTTTCTTGCTCCTCTGTACTCTTACCACTTGAGCTTTTTTGATGTTTAATTGGAGATAAGAGTCTCATGAACTTTTTCTGCCCTGGCTGGCTTCAAACCTTAATCATTAGCCTCCTGAGTTAGCTAGGATTATAGGCGGGAGCCACCAGTGCCTGGCAAGTTTTAAATGTTTTTGTTAGATTCTTGATCTTTAGTACTGGGGCTGGTGTGTGGTGTAGACGCTATAATTGCTTAGTGATTACTTCCTGGAAAGCTGGGATAGCTAAGCTGAAAGAGGCTCTGCGTTCACTACTGCTGATGGTATCTGGAGGCTTAGTTGCAGTTTCTTCTATGTGTGTGTGTGTGCATGCATGCACTTGATATACAATCATGGTTTAGTCAGGCTTCAGTAGTTTTTACTGGTTTCTTAAATTATCTTTGTTTTTGTTTCATTCTTTTTTTTTGGGTGAGGGTTCCGGTCGTGGGGCCTGAACTCTGGGCCTGGGCACTGTCCCTCAGCTCTTCAGCTCAAGGCTAGCGCTCTACCACTTGAGCCACAGCGCCACTTCTAGCTTTTTTTCTTTTTGCTTATGTGGTGCTGAGAAATCGAACCCAGGGCCTCATGCATGCAAAGCAAGCGCTCTACCACTGAGCCATCCTCCCAGCCCCTCACTGAAATATTTAAAATTAAGTTTTATTCCAGACGGAATGTATGCGGTTACTAGCAGCTTATTGATGAAACTCACCCATGTTTGCATACCAATGTGGTTCATACTGTCATGAAATAGTTTATTTTCTTGGTTCTTGTGTTTGACATTTGGGTTGTTGCTACTTTTTTGGCTTTTGGACAGTGGTGCTATGAACATTTTAGGGCACAAATCATGTCAAGAGAACACACCCTGGAGTAGAATATTTAGGAATAACATCCTCAAAATTAGCACCAAACTTTCCCCAAGAGCCTGAGGCAGCTCACCTTCGTTCCTATCAGAATAGGGAACGTCATGCTAGCCGCCCCACGCGTGCCGACTCTCACTCTTCTCAGGTAGCACCTTTGTGCATGAAGTGCCCATGGCTCTAACTGGTGTTGTCCGGATGGACAACTAGGTCGAGCATTTCCAGGTCTTTATTGGCCGTTTCCAGTCTTCCTCTGCAGTGTGCTGGTCCTGCAGGTGTAGAGGAATCCTTCATTCTGAAATGGAGCCTTCGGAGATACGGTCATTGCTGGAATCTTCACAGTCTTGCCATGTGCTCTTTTGCTCTTCATTCATTCATCTTCATAGTTAACATTTCCTTTTTTTTTTTTTTTTGGCCATGGGGCTTGAACTCTGGGCCTGGCTTTCTGGTGGTTTATTGGAGATAAGAGTTTCACAGACTTTCCTGCCCTGGCTGGCTTTGAACTGCGATCCTCAGATCTCATCCTCCTGAGTAGCTAGGATTACGGGCATGAGCCACCGGCGCCCAGCAACATTTCAATTTTAAACTTCAGCAATACTGCCTTTTTCCAGTATGTAAAGATTTTCTTGTGTTCTCTTTGAAAGACTGATTTTTCTTCATGAATACTGGCCATGGTGTTTAAATTTTCTCAATTCCTAATTGTTGGCTAGTGTATAGAAAGAAAAGCTTTTCACATATTTCCAATATATTCAGAGACCCACCTTTCTTACATATGCATACAGATACTTTAAATTCATATGTAGATTCTGAGTTTTTCCATATGCAGTTATCTTACCTGAAAACCGTGGTGATTGAGTTCTTTCTTCCA